AGGGGAAGGGGGCTGGGGGGAGCCACTAGAAAACGAGGAATTTAAAAAAAAAAAAAAACAAAGTTAGGCTTTAATATCACTTTAAACTTTCTGCACCGAAGGGTCCATCTTGGTATACTTTGCTGACTCGGCCAATTTGAAGAGAAGGCTCCGAATCCCCTTACCCCTCACCATAGGGCCAATAAAAGTTAAGTGATTACTTAAAGCATGGCTCTCTATGGCAAAACATGGATGTATTCTACATCTACACTCCCTGGATGAAGGAATCTTTTTCAAGATTACATATTTCCTACATTTTCACACTTCCTACATTTTCACTGAAATTCTAATTTGAGAACCTAACAATGCTTGTATATGGTGCGATGTTGGGGAGCTCATAGAGCACTCGCAGAGGGTTTTGAATAAAACAAAAGCTTTTATTTTCCTCTTGCAGGGCAGCCAAAAAACGGTAAACACAAGTCCAAATCGTCGGCACAGATAAGAAAACATAAATGTGTCTCACCGACTTGTTGTAGAAACATCCCTAACCTGGAGAAATCCCTTCCCAGGAATATTAGTCCTGCAGCACAGCACATCTCGCTCTCACTAGCCACAGCTTAATACTTTCTCAACTCCCACACTCCTCTCTGGGAGTTGCAGACCTCTAAACCCCTTGCTGGGGCAGGAAGATTAACCCTGTGGTGGCCCTTAAAGGGACCACAACCCAAACAGTGGCGATATACATCTCCCATCCAGGACCCAGCCTTGCCGTCCTCTACAATGGAAAACAATGTATGTCATCATATGTTTATCTGTTTTTTCTTTTTACATTATGCAAACTGCCATGCTGTGATTTTTTACTCTATTATGTCAATAATAGATATTGTTATAAAACTAAACAAAAATTCAACCATAAAAACTGGACAGGGGTTATAATATTTCCCTACTCTGTCAAAAGCAGAGAAAAAAAAAAAAAAAAAAAGGTTTTGGCATGACAAACACCAAGAAGCCTGGATAGTATGTCAGTTATGATACCTGAGCTAGGGCAATAGAAAAACCT